CATTCTTCCCACTGACCCCCAATGGAAGGGGCATTCTTCCCACTGACCCCCAATGGAAGGGGCATTCTTCCCACTGACCCCCAATGTAAGGGACATTCTTCCCACTGACCACCAATGTAAGGGACATTCTTCCCACTGACCACCAATGTAAGTAGGACATTCTTCCCACTGACCACCAATGTAAGGGACATTCTTCCCACTGACCACCAATGTAAGGGACATTTTTCCCACTGACCCCCAATGTAAGGGACATTCTTCCCACTGATCACCAATGTAAGGGACATTCTTCCCACTGATCACCAACGTAAGGGACATTCTTCCCACTGATCACCAACGTAAGGGACATTCTTCCCACTGATCACCAACGTAAGGGACATTCTTCCCACTGACCACCAACGTAAGGAACATTCTTCCCACTGATCACCAACGTAAGGGACATTCTTCCCACTGATCACCAATGTAAGGGACATTCTTCCCACTCACCACCAATGTAAGGGACATTCTTCCCCACGGACCTCCTGAATAATTAATTTGAGTAGCGGTCCCCTGAAACCTGAAAATTATTTATAGGGTTCCTCTGTGGTAAAAGGTTTGATAAAGGCTGATTTACACCAAGCCCGGGTTCACACTTGTGCGGTATACCGCATGTGATTTGCACAGGAACCGCAGCGCATTCCTGTGCCAATCACGTGAATTCTGCGCGGTGCAATCGAAGTTTTACATTTTGTATGGCTCAGATTGCACCACATCCGCACCAAAATAATGCAGGACCCTTTTTTTTTTTTTTTTTTTTGTCATTTGTCCGCACTAGAATCGGATCTCACGGGTACTCACACCAATGCGATCCAATTCTGCACATCGCACCGCGTTTTGCAGACCCAATTCGGGGTGTTAACATACACACGGTTCGCATGAATGGGGTGCGATTATTATGTGGTGAGGAATTGGCACAGAAATCGGTGTGAATTCTGCACTGCATCAGTATGAACCCGGGCTTAAACTGCACCTTGCAGCACGTTTTACCAACCAATCAGAATTCAGCTTATATGGTGATGACAGTGATGGATGGCTATTGATTGGCTGCTGCGGGTCTCCACTTTACTCTTGGTTCTCTGTATCCTCTCTGTGTGTTTTGTCTCAAGTTTTTTTTTGCTGTGAAAGGTCATTGCAGCCTCATTCAGAAGAACTGTCCAGCTCTGATGAAACGTCTGATTGTGAAACACATTTGTCTCTTCTGTGAATAAACAATAAGAAAGTGAACTGCATCTATCCGGGTTATTTGTCTCTGCTGGAGAGAGAAAGCCGGGAATGAACAATGGCAACACATTCCTGAGTCTAATGGATGAGGGGGGGGGGGGGACAGAGAGGTAAACAATGGCGTTACTTTCCTGGGGTGCGTGCTTAGCCTCAACCCACGCACAGCGGAGACACCGAGACCCGTTCTGATCCAATACTACCATCAAAGAATGAAAATCCAAAGCAGCCGATCAGAGTTCAATATTATGCTGTCAGATGATCCCTTCATGTTCCTGCACCGTTCACCTAATTTCTGACCTCCAGCTCCTCCCCTTTAGTCTTGCACAGGTGTACCGGCTCCTCCCCTTCAATCTTGCACAGTTCTAGCTCCTCCCCTTTAGTCTTTCACAATTGTACCTGCTGCTCCCCTTCAGTCTTGCATAGTTGTATAGCCACTTCCCCTTCAGTCTTGCACAGGTGTACCGGCTCCTCCCCTTCAGTCTTGCACAGGTGTACCTGCTCCTCCCCTTCAGTCTTGCACAGGTGTATCGGCTCCTCCCCTTCAGTCTTGCACAGGTGTACTGGCTCCTCCCCTTCAGTCTTGCACAGGTGTACTGGCTCCTCCCCTTCAGTCTTGCACAGGTGTACCGGCTCCTCCCCTTCAGTCTTGCACAGGTGTACCGGCTCCTCCCCTTCAGTCTTGCACAGGTGTACCGGCTCCTCCCCTTCAGTCTTGCACAGGTGTACCGGCTCCTCCCCTTCAGTCTTGCACAGGTGTACCGGCTCCTCCCCTTCAGTCTTGCACAGGTGTACCGGCTCCTCCCCTTCAGTCTTGCACAGGTGTACCGGCTCCTCCCCTTCAGTCTTGCACAGGTGTACCGGCTCCTCCCCTTCAGTCTTGCACAGGTGTACCGGCTCCTCCCCTTCAGTCTTGCACAGGTGTACCGGCTCCTCCCCTTTAGTGTTGCACAGGTGTACCGGCTCCTCCCCTTCAATCTTGCACAGTTGTACCCGGCTCCTCCCCCTCAGTCTTTTACAGGTGTACTGGCCCCTCCCCTTCAATCTTGCACAGTTGTACCCGGCTCTGTATTCATGTATATATTACACAGCGTTCCAACTTTTTTGGAATTGGGGTTGTGCGTGATATGAGGACATTCTGTATGTTCTCCGTAGGGGCCAGCAGAGGCCGGACCTCCACGATGTCACTGTAATCAGATTAGCCGTTGTTAAGTGTCTTATGTGGGCTGAAGGCCTCTGATCACCTTCACTAATGTCTAATCTCTTTATCCTCTTTGAGGTGGTAAGTGATCCTGAATGATTCTCTTCTGCTGCACAGGACCTGCATGGAAGAACCACAGCCGTCTATATCTGAAGGAACCTCTGTCTGTCTTGTCAGCTGTGGCCCAGCCCTGCGGGTTCTGTTCCAAATATCACGTACCTGTATGAGGAGCATGAGATGATGAGGGTGGCCTCCTGGGCAATAGCGATCCAAGCACGCCTGGAAGTTGAGGCAGGGACTGCAGGAACAATGGAAGGGCTCAGGTGCCAGGATGCTGGAACCACAAACTTGAACTTGGAAGCAATGAGGACACCCCGACCTCACCCAGACCAGTAGAGAACAAAGCCGGGTCACAAGCCAAGTTCAAATGCCCGAAAACACCAACTCACAAGCAGGAAGAAGGACAGAGACAAGCAGAGGTTGTCAATGCGTGGGCAGCGAGGTACAGAATCAGTAAGCACAGTCTTGGTCAGAAGTCCAAGCCAAGGTCAGGAACACAGGTGGGCAGCCGACATAAGCAGGCAGGGGTGATCCAGAGGCAGGTCAGACAAAACCCAGGCCAGTAACAGAGTCCAGCAGAGTCAGGATCAGAGATCTAAGCTGAAAGACCATCCAGAAATGATCCCATGCAGGCCTCAGGTTTAAATAGTCCTCTAGGCACCAGTCTTTGTGGTGGACATGCCCGTGCTTCCATGTGAATGCGTTTCTATGCACATTCGCTTTCCTGCATGCTTAGTTAGGCTCATGTGCATGAACACATGCACACGTTTGTGCCTTGAAGCTGACATGATATCCTTGAATTTTCCCCGCCTCAAGTGCAGCCCTCAACATCAACAGGGGGGGTACACATAAAATTCAATGAATGTTCAGTGCCAGAGACAGCAGACACACAATTGGACATAGTCAAAGACTATGGGCATGATGCAAGAGATGGTCAGAGACTGCAGATATGATACAAGAAATGGTCAGAGACTGCAGACATACTACAGGAGACAGAGACTGCAGACATACTACAGGAGATGGTCAGAGACTGCAGACATACTACAGGAGATGGTCAGAGACTGCAGACATACTACAGGAGATGGTCAGAGACTGCAGACATACTACAGGAGATGGTCAGAGACTGCAGACATACTACAGGAGATGGTCAGAGACTGCAGACATACTACAGGAGATGGTCAGAGACTGCAGGCATACTACAGGAGATGTGTCAGAGACTGCATCAGGAGATGGTCAGAGACTGCAGACATACTACAGGAGATGGTCAGAGACTGCAGATGGAGATGGTCAGAGACTGCAGACATACTACAGGAGATGGTCAGAGACTGCAGGCATACTACAGGAGATGGTCAGAGACTGCAGACATACTACAGGAGATGGTCAGAGACTGCAGACATACTACAGGAGATGGTCAGAGACTGCAGACATACTACAGGAGATGGTCAGAGACTGCAGACATACTACAGGAGATGGTCAGAGACTGCAGACATACTACAGGAGATGGTCAGAGACTGCAGACATACTACAGGAGATGGTCAGAGACTGCAGACATACTACAGGAGATGGTCAGAGACTGCAGACATACTACAGGAGATGGTCAGAGACTGCAGACATACTACAGGAGATGGTCAGAGACTGCAGACATACTACAGGAGATGGTCAGATACTACAGGAGATGGTCAGAGACTGCAGACATACAGGGGACCGTCTGAGACTGCAGACATAGTACAGGAGATGGTCAGAGACTGCAGACATGATACAAGACATGGTCAGAAACTGCGGACATTGTACAGGAGTTGGTCAGAGACTACTGACATGCTAAAGGTGTTGGAGAGTAGGGCCATGCTATGGGAGTTGGAGACTGAAGACATACTATGGGAATTGTTGGAGACTGGGGACATACTATGGGATATGTTGGAGACTAGGGACATGCTATAGGAGTTGTTGTAGACTGAGGACATGCTATAGGAGTTGTTGGAGCCCTCCCCCATGTATAAATCGGTGGTGATCACTTTTCAGAGGGTCTTGACAGGCAGTGAGGAGGTGTTGTGTCACCTCCTCACCATCTGCTTTTAACATCTTGAACCCTGCACTAGCTCATGGCCATCATTTGCATTGCATGCAGTAGCGGGGCATGTGCACAGCAGCCTCATCCACTTGAATGGGTTGCGATCGGTGGGCAGTAACTCCTGCCAAAAGCAACAGGCAGCTGGGGGAAGCCGTTGGGGGGGCAATAAAACCGCATGGTTCTACTGCCCCCCCAACCGCTAGTATGAACATGCTCAGTCCTAACATCCTTACAATGGGTTTCTTCTTAGCAGTACCAGTATCTCATTCTGAATCCTTACAGCCTCTGTGCTGGGATCCCACAGTGCCAACGTCTTGGTGCCCAAACAAAATGTACTTTTTCGGTTATGGAAGTGTCTGGAAGGAAAGTTGTCTGTGTTGGCCACCTACTAACCCACCTGATGTCATTATATTGCAGTGACGAGGACCAGGCGCTTTCCAAGTACAACCCAAAGGTGGTGACATATGTGATGGGGCCCGGCCGGCCGGAGAGCAGAGCCCAATCTAGAGAGAGCCGATGGGGCCGACCAATGAGTGCAAGCCGAGCTGGAGATGGGCGGTGAGCACAGAGAGGAGTCATGGGGGCCAGTGAACCTAATACAAAATACATGTCTGTCTCCAATGCCCAGCCTTGTTCTGCTGTTGAGACAACACGTTGGCTGGGGGAAGGAGAGGGATGTAGTATAACCCACAGGGCCATAAACACTTCTGCCATTTTTCTTCAGGTCCTAGTATTAGAAGTACCCTACTTTGTCTGGGATTCTGGACATATGTTGAAGTGGTCCTATATCTGTCCCTAGGACCACTGCAAAGAGCGGGCCATTATGGAAGAGTGGCAAGAAATGTGCTATTGCTACAAAAAATGAAATAAAGAATACACAATTGATGTTCACCAAATCGCATGTGGCAGAGTCCCCAAACACATGGAAGAAGCTTCTCTAGTCAGATGAACTTTTTAGCCATCATGTGTGGTGCAAACCAAGCACTTCACATCACCCCGAGAACACAATTCCCCACTGTGAAGCATGGCGGTGGCAGTGTGGAGATGCTTTTTATAGGCGGGGTGTAGAAAACTGGTCAGGATTAACCACCTCCCGTCCGGTCGTTGTATATAAACGGCCGGACGGTGGCAGTGCAGGGTTGGGTGGCTGTTTATAAATGGCCTCCCCTCCCCCTGCTTGTGTGCGCTCCCTGGGAGCGCGCAGCACCGCAATCTGGTGCCCGCTGTGCATTCGGCTTGAATAATGAGCCCGATAATCATGTCCCGAAAACACTTTCACAATTCATACCACGTCCTCCGGACACAGTGGAACCCTGATTGTCATACGGGACCTCTGTGCGAGGTCCCGATCATGTGATCACTGATTGGCCAATCAGTGATCACATGCAGAGTAGTAAGGAAGAATGTCACTTCTGACATCATTGCTTACTACGTGTGAAATCTGTGAATGAACACAGAGATCACATGGTACAGGGCCATTCACAACAGCCTTGTACCATGTGACAAGCTGTGACCAATCACACCTCACACAGTATTTCTCAATGGCTGCAAGAATGCAGCCAGGGAGAAGGAGAAATTATTGCTTTTACAGCCTTTATGGGTGTAAAAAACAAAAAAAACAAAGGAACAATCATCACCCTCCACAAGTGGTATAGTGTCACCATGGTGACACTGTACTGCCAGGGTGACAGTATGTAAAAAAAAAAAAAAAAAACCAAAAAAAAAAAACCACAAAATAATATAAAAATGTTAAAAAAAAATGTTAAAAAATTTATAATTTTTGGTTATAAACTAATTTGGGTTATTTTTTTTTACTAAAAAGATAATGGAATATATTTTGGCCAAGATTTATGATGAACTATTATTTATTTGCAACATTTTATAAGAAAAACACTTTTTTTTTTTTTTTTTTAAATTTTTGGACTTTTTAATTTACATAACAAAAAAAATAAAAATCCCAGCGGTGAATAAATACCACCAAAATAAAGCTTTATCTGTCTCAAAAAATCGCTAAAAAATTCATATGGGTACAGTGTTGCATGACCGCGCAATTGTCATTCAAAGTGTGATAGCGCTGAAAGCTGAAAATTGGCCTGGACAGGAAGGGGTAAACAAGTCCGGACTTGAAGAGGTTAAAAAAAAAGATGGATGGCATTAAATATAGGGAAATTCTTGAAGAGAACGTTTCAGTCCGGCAGAGAAATCAAGACTGGGATGCAGGATCACCTTCCTGCAGGACGATGATCCTAAACATACTGATACAGTGATACTGGAGTGATTTAGAGAGAAACATTTAAAAGTGTTGGAATCACCCAGCCAAAGGCCAGACCTCAATCCAGTTGAGAATCTGTGGCGTGACTCCAAGATTGCTGTACACCAATACAGCCCATCTAACTTGAAGGATCTGGAGCAGCTTTGCATGGAAGAATGAGCAAAAATCCCAGGAGCTCGATGGGACATCCTGTCCAACAAGAGACTTGCAGCTGTATTTTGCAGCAACTGGTGGCTCTACAAAGTACAGCATTGACTTTTGGGGAAAAGGAAGGGGGGGGGGGGGGGGGTGACGGTGAATACTTGTTTATACTCAAAATGTCTGTTTTGTTTTGTCTTAATTATTGTCAACAATAAAAAATATGTTTCCACTTCAAAATCATAGAGACGTATACATCAATGGTACAAAACCCCACCGAAAAGTCCATTTTATCTCCAGGCTGTAATGCAGCAAAATGAGAGATAAACACCAAGAGGGGGGGGGGGGGTTGAATACTTTTGCGAGGAACTCTGTCCTATCTCGATATCTCATGCAGTGCAATAGTTATGTAAAGTACAGGCGTACTTCGCTTTATGAATTTAATTCGCTCTGCGGGACTTTTTGTATATCGAGAAATTCATAAACCAAAACGCTGTTTCCCAAAGGAATGCATTGAAAACCAATCCGCTCTGGAGGTCAGAAATAAAATGGGGGGTTTTTTAGTCAAAACTCTTTATAAAGTGCACTTTAAAGGCATAAATACTGTACAGGGACATGATTTAAAAAAATTTTTCTAAATGCATTGAAAACCAATTACAGTATTCCATTCCGGAGGTCAGAAAAAAGTAAAAAAAACAATTGTGTTCAAAACTCTTTATAAACTGCACGTTTAAAGGCATAAATACTGTACAGGGACATGATTAACCCCATCACGCCTAAGGGTAAAACAAATCTAAATACCTAAGCACAATTTTGCAACATTGACCTGTGTTAGTAAAACCGTACATATCATCACAACTACTTTTTACATCCAGGTGAATTATACCGTGTTTTTTTTCAGGAACAATTGGTGGTAAATGGTGAATGGATATCTCCTGATTTTTGTTTTATTATCAAAGGAAAACTGGCCCAAAATAGTAAAAAAAAAAAAATATATAATTTTTTTTTTATTTAGCAGTTTGTTTCTTGTTACTACCATAACTTACCACCAAAAAAAAACAACACAAAATAAATTTTCCAGCTCTTGACAATCGCAGTGATACCATATATGTGTATGTTATTTGTTGTTTGTACCCTTAGTTCAACCCAGAAACAATAGTGTGCATTTTGTTTTTGTCTCTTTTTTTTTTTTTTTTTTTTTTTTTTTTTTTTTTTAACCTAAAACACACTGACACCAATTTTTTTTTTTTTTTTAAACCCTGACCTTTTGACCTTAACCTTTGACCCTGACCTTGACCAAAACGCTAACCCTGGCACTGAACTAGATCAAACCTTGATCTAGATATTTTTTCTTTATTTTATTTTGTAATATTTATTTTATTTTTAACAAACATTTTTTTTCTCTCTATGACAGGAGTTAGAGAGATACAATGTATAATGGGATGTATACAATGATACAATGTATAATGGGATGTATATAATGATACAATGTATAATGGGATGTATATAATGATACAATGTATAATGGATGTATATAATGATACAATGTTTTAATATAATGGATGTATATAATGATACAATGTATAATGGGGGATGTATATAATGTTACAATGTATAATGGATGTATATAATGTTACAATGTGTAATGGGATGTATACAATGATACAATGTGTAATGGGATGTATAATACAATGATACAATGTGTAATGGGATGTGTATACAATGATACAATGTAATAATGGATGTATATACTGATACATAATCATGTATAATGGGATGTATATAATCATACAATGTATCTCTCCCCTCCATTCATAGAGAGAAAAAACCAAGGGGGCCGGGCTGCACAGTGACTGATCACTGTGATAGCCAATCAGAGACTCTCACAGCGACCATGTGACCGGAATTGGGAGTCCCAGGTCTCGACCATTAGAACGGGACCCGGGGCTCTCAGTGACACCACGGTCTTTGTGCTGGGAGCGCGCCGTGCGGCGCGCTCCCAGCACAAAGACAGGTACGCAAATATGCGGCCCCACAGACAAAAGCCTAGTTCTGTGAGGTCGCATATATTTGTGTTATGTCGGCGTGAAGGGGTTAAGCAAAAACTGTAAATGCATTGAAAACCAATTAATCTGTTCGTATTGCAGAACAAGTTTGTAAACCGAGCAATTTTTTTTCAATGGATTTTTTATTCGTAAACCAAAAATTACCTGAGGCGTTCGTAAACCAAGGTACGCCTTTATCTGTGTACTTTTATTTCCTATGTTCTTTGTTGTTGATGATGGAAAGTTGATCCGACTCTCCTTCCTCTGCAGACCCCTCTCCTCTCTGTCCTCCGGCTCCAGCATCGAGGATGACCTGGAGGAACTGAAGGACAAACTCAAGATTTCTGACATTGATGAGGTTGTACGACACCTTCAGTAAGTGCTGGGACTCCAGCCCCCCCCCCCCCCCCCCCCCCTCCAAATTTGGAAGAGTATTTTTTTTTGTCTATTGTACAGGGTTAAAAAAAACATAATTTAGGTTATTTATTGATTTTAAATGACTCTTCTATACTGAAGAACACGTCGAAGTGGATGTGAACACAAATCTTATATAATCTTTAACATGTTCATGTAATTTCAAATGTTATTTTCAATACTTTTAAATCTGCAGCTGACATTTATAGTGATATTTAGGACAAAAGAAATAAATAACAAACATGTCATACTTACTTGCTCTGTAATAGTTTTCCAAAGAGCAGCCCTGATCCTCCTTTTCTGGGCTTGCTCCTGTCCATTCACACACAGAGCTGCTGCTTGGCCCCACCCCTTCTCTCTCCTAATTGTCTTACGGGCTGTGATTGACAGCAGCAAGAGCCAATGGTACCCGCTGCCCTCTCAGCCAATGAGGAGGGAGCGTCCCTGGAGAGCCAAGGCTCTAGTGCACATCGCTGGATCGAGATGGGGCTTAGGTAAGCGCTGAGGGGGCTGCTGCATACAGAAGGGTTTTTTTTTATCTTCATGTATAGAATGCATGAAGGTAAAAAACCTTAAGCCTTTATAACCACTTTAAAATATTCCCTGGTGATGCTGCCATAAAGATCCTTGTTTAGGCAACTCCTGTTATAGGATGACAGCACTCTGCCCCTGTGTCTCAATTGTGCTCCTGTGTTTGTCACCCTGTCATAAGAGTTACTTTGGAAACTACAAGTGGCCATTTCAGCATACGTTACACAGATGTGTCCCACTTCTGTCACCATCAGGATCCCTGACCTGAGAAATGGCATGCAGGCATTGTGTCCTTTATGATAGATCATGAAACAGGCAAACTAAGGGGGAGAGATTACTTAAACTGGAGCACTCAGAATCTGGTGCCGCTGTGCATGGCAGCCAATCAACTTCTAACTTCAGCTTGTTCATAAGCTTTGACAATAAAACCTGGAAGCTGATTGGTTTCTGTGCAGAGCTGCGCCAGATTTTTCACCATGCTGTTTTAGTAGATAACCCCCTAAATGTCTTTCAGTTAGGATGTACTTTAAGGTTTCATTGGGCCCTCCTGTTACTGTGGAAGGAGACCCAAAGGAAGGGATAGAGGGACCAAGCAGAGTTTCCTTACACGAGACCTCAAGGAATGAAGGATGACCAAGAAAGTGTCTCTTTCCACAAGGTTTGGAAGAGATGAGGGAACCAAGATAAAGTCTACTTACTCTAGACCAGGTGGATGAGGGAAAATGACCAAGCAGGGATCTCTCCTCACCAGGCCTGGAAAGTCTGGGGAACAATATGAAATCTCTTTTCACTAGACCTGGATAGATGGAGGGTGACCAAGCAAGGGTCTCCTTCCACCAGATCTGTAGGGGACCAAGATAAATTCTACTTACACAAGACCAGGAGGACAAGGGAGAATAGCCAAGCAGGGGTCTCTCCTCACCAGGTGTGGAAAGTTTGTTGGCCAAGATGAAGTCCTCTTAGAGACCTGAAGAGATGAAGGGTGACCAAGCAAGGGTCTCCTCCCACCAGAATGGGAGAGGATGAGGGGACCAAGATAAAGCCTACTTACACTAGACCTGGAGGATGGGGGAAATGACCAAGCAGGGGTCTCTCATCATTAGGTCTGAAAAGTTTGGGGACCAAGATAGTCTCCTTACACTAGACATAGAGAGAAGGGGGGTGGCCAAGCAAGAGTCTCCCCCACCAGATCTGGAGGGGATGAGGGGACCAAGATGAAGCTTGCTTCCATTAGACCGGGACAATGAGGGTAATGACCAAACATTGTTTCTTCTCCACCAGGTCTGGAAGGTTTTGGGTACCAAGATGAAGTCTCTTTACACTAGACCTAGAGAGGTGGTGGGTGAGCAAGCAGAGGTCCCTTGCCTCCAGATGTGGAAACAATGAGGGGACCTAGATAAAGTCTCCATGCACTGGACTGAGAGAATGGAGGAAGATGACCAAGCAGGTCTCTCTACCGGATCTGAAAGGTTTGGAGATGGGGGTGACCCAGCAAGGGTCTCCTACCACCAGATCTGAAGGGGATAAGGGGACCAAGATAAAGTCTGCTTACAGTAGACCAGGAACAAGGGGGGTAATGAGGAAACATGGGTTTTTCTCAACCAGGTCTGGAAGGTTTGGGGTACCAAGATGAGTCTGTTTGCACTAGACCTAGAGAGATGGTGGGTGACCAAGCAAGGGACTCCTCTCACAAGATCTGGAGGTGATGTGGGGACCAAGATGAAGCCTGCTTACACAAGACCTGGTGGACAGAGTAAATGAGAAAGCAGGGGTTTTACTCCACCAGGTCTGGAAGGTTTGGGGACTAAGGTGAAGTCTCCTTACACTAGACCTAGAGAGATGGGTGACCAAGCAGGGGCCCCCACCACCAGGTGTGGAAGCGATGATGGGACCAAGGCAGCCTGCTTACACTAGGTGGGGAGCATGGGGGAAAATGACCAAGCATAGGTCTCTCTTCAGCAGGTATGGAAAGTATGATGGAGCAAGATGAAGTCTCCTTACACTAGACCTGGTGAGATGGGGGTGACCCAACAAGGGTTTTCTCCACCAGGCGCAGAAGGGAATAGGGGACCAAGGTAAAATTTCCTTGCACTAGACCTGGAGGAAGGGTAGAAATACCAAGTGGGGTCTCTTTCTATCAATTCTAGTAACAATTCAGGGTCTTTTGCCAAGGAGGCCCAGCCTGAGCTACTACTGGAAAGTTGTGTCACTGCAGATTCTAAAAACATGACTACAACAGAATACCGGCCAAATCAGCCAAACGCCTGCATCTGATTTACTCCATGTGTGGAGATCAGGCCGCTGACTGACCTCCATGTGGATACCCAACTTCCGAACTACGCCAACCCCCCTCCCGAGTGCTGCGTCAGGACATTTCTGGTTCCAGGCGTGTGGATTGGATTTTCTGGGTGACACAAGAAAGATTCTAGTTTTTATTAATTTGCTGACTTGGCTGAGGGGAGAACTTTTATCTCATAATTGAGGAAGTACTGGAATGGAGAAAGGTGTTCAGGACCGTAATGGTCAAGGCAATTGTACACCAGCTTATCTTTTCTTTTTTTTTTTAGGTTTATGTTAAGTAATCAGTAATAATGTTTATCTTTTTATTCTGGTAAATAAGAAACATAACATATGAATACCTCATATTTACAATTTGCAGGTGGCAGGTTTAGCCAGTTCAACCTCCCCCGAGTAATCTTTACATTTCTGCTTTGGGACAGTTTATTCAGCAATAATGACCACAAAGTAATATATAGATCTCTTTGTAGGACAAACAAGGTTTACTTATGGCGATACTTTCCTGCAACCGACTTTTCTTGCAAAAAAATGATTTGAAAAAAAAAAATAGACAAGAAATTAAGAAAATTTAAAGAATACACCTTTGTTTAGGATAGGTTCACGCTTGCAGTTTGCGTTTGATCCGTTTCTGCAGTGCTTTTTGCGATGCATTTAGCATTTTTGCACATGTGTTTTTTACGCATTTTGCTGCGTTTTTCTTTTTTTATACTTGTTGCTAGGCAGATAAAGACGCATAAAAAAACCGTAAAAAACGCACTACATTCTTTTCTGCAGCGTCTCCATTGAAGTCTATAGAACCAAAAACAAAACATTTTGCATTTAAAAAATGTCCCTGACCCTTTCCAAAAAACGCACCGGGTGAAAACATGAACCTGTCCCATAGGAAATCATGTTAAATGGACTGCTGTGCATTTCTGCAAAATGCAAATCAAAGTGGAAAACGAATAGGTGTGAACCTAGACTTGTTACTCAAAGGAGGGACACTCCTCCACCCTCCCCTATCAGAGAGATTTTAGAAGGCCAACAAGCATCCTCCTTAATCTCTGTGTTGTAAATGATATCAGTAGTAGAGATAAAGATACAGATTATTTAGATTGTGTACAAACTTCACTTTCTGTATTAGCTGCTGCCGTCGCAGCTTCATGTTCATTTTTAATTCTTTTGAAGGTTTTAGAAACAAAGTTTGACCCAATTTTAAAATACACTATATTGCCAAAAGTATTGGGCCGCCCTCCAAATCATGTGATTCAGGTGTTCCAATCCCCTCCATATCATGTGATTCAGGTGTTCCAATCCCCTCCATATCATGTGATTCAGGTGTTCCAATCCCCTCCATGGACACAGGTGTATACAATCAAGCCCCTAGGCATGCAGACGGCTTCTACAAACATTGGTGAAAGAATGGGTTGCTCTCAGGAGCTCAGTGACTCCAAGCGTGGTCCCGTGATAGGTGGCCACCTGGGCAATAAGTCCATCCGTGACATTTCCTGGCTACTAAATATTCCACGCTCAACTGTTAGTGGGATTATAACAAAGTGGAAGCAATTGGGAACAATAGCCACTCAGCCACCAAGTGGTAGGCCACGTCACATGACAGGGCGGGGTCAGCGCATGCTGAAGCACACAGTGCGCAGAAGTCGCCAACTGTCTGCAGAGTCAATAGCTAAAGACCTCCAAACTTGGTGTGGCCTTCAGATGAGCCCAACAACAGTGCGTAGAGAGCTTCATGGAATGGGTTTCCATGGCCGAGTAGCTGCATCCAAGCCTTACATCACCAAGTGCAATGCAAAGCGTCGGATGCCATGGTGTAAAGCACGCCGCCACTGCACTCTAGAGCAGTGGAGACATGTTCTCTGGAGTGACCAATCACGCTTTTCTGTCTGGCAATTCGATGGATGTGTCTGGGTTTGGTGGTTGCCAGGAGAACGGTAATTGCCTGACTGCATTGTGCCAAGTGTAAAGTTTGGTGGAGGGGGGACTATGGCATGGGGTTGTTTTTGCAGGGGTTGGGCTTGGCCCCCTAGTTCCAGTGAAGGGAACTCTTAAGGCGACATTTTGGACAATTTCATGCTCCCAACTTTGTGGGAAGAATTTGGGGATGGCCCCTTCCTGTTCCAACATGACTGCCCACC